TGCATTTGACGTTACTATAGGCCGCTTCTTTTGAGAAACCTCGGTGCTGCCGCTGTCAGGTGGTATTTAGACGCAGTACTTGCGCTGTCGCGGCGATACCAGCGATGGCTCCAACTTGGGACATCCGCAACTGATTTTTTTTTGTTTATATGTTTGTTACGGGGCCTGAGCTCGTCTTGACCAGTGCTTTGGCGATTGCAGCAGACTTGATAATATCATTAATTGAGCGTAGCTTCGGCGGCTCTGGCAGGCGGGACCGTGGCCAGTGAGGGCATTCCGGCCGAGACCGGTAGTGGTCCGTGCACCTTGAGGGCAGTGCACGTGATGCCGTTTAGTGGCCGCTTACGTAAGCCAGTGTTTGGGAGCCGCTCTTTGCGTGCAGCAAAAGCCGCGCCCTGCGAGTGAGAGCCCTCTCACAGCCAGCTCTCTGCCAGCCAAAGCCTTGCCCTCACTCAATAAGTCTTTGCCCGCTAAAGCATTTCCCTGACTATTTCCACATCGTCCCTCTTCCTTCCCCTCACTTCAGCTTAAACACTTATTCTTTAAAGGTATGTACGCCTTATCTGATCACTTCAGGGGCCTCGTCGTCGTCGTTGGCGATGACCAACAACATCTGCACCAACCGTCGGGCGCGCTCTGAGGCGCGCCAAAACGCGTCGGTGCATGAACGTGTCGGACGCGTTTCCTTGGTGTTCTACGTCTTCGTATTGACTTGTAGACGTGTCGGATAGCTTGCTGACCTCGTCGTCGTCGTCTAGATGCCCAAAGAAGCCACCAAATCCACAAGGGTTAGTACCTTTTCACTAAAATGCTATCCTGTGGCCCTGGACATGCCCCCTCGTCTGTTTATCGTGAAATCCCTCTTCACACTCGTGCAGTACACCGCCGCTGGCGACGTTCTCCAGATGGGAGATCGATAAACGCGCTAGTTGGTTAAACTAACTGATTTCAGTCTTACGCATGACCGAGATCGCATCGAAGGTCATATATGCGTAGATCTCAGTTTGTGGCCCGCGTAGGGGGCGATTGCGAGCTTTATATGCGCTTTTACTCTCTGCACACCACGTAGGGCCGCGACTCCTGTGTACCTCTCTGGGGGGCAATGTCATGCTATGTCATATATCAACGCTGTATGCTAATGAAACACGTCCTACACAGCGTAAGGCCGCCGACAAGGCTGAAAAGACCCCAAGGGGCAAGGCAAAGAAGGATCCCAAGGCGCCCAAGCGGGCACTTTCTGCGTACATGTTCTTCAGCCAGGACTGGAGGGAACGCGTCAAGGGTGAGAACCCAGATGCAGGCTTTGGTGGGTGTTGTACATTTCTACATATGGGGCGTCGAGCCTGACTATATGCTATCTCTTTAGGCGAGATTGGCAAGCTTCTTGGTGCCAGGTGGAAAGAGCTCGATGACGAAGAGAAGAAGGTGTGTAGTGTCAGTCGCTTGGATCTATCCATGACTGATAGCCATCTGTATAGCCATACATGGAACAAGCTGCACGAGACAAGGAGCGGGCAGAAAAGGAGAAGAAGGATTACGATGTATGTTATCTCCGCAAGCGTTGGAACCACGCATATACTCACTCCCACTATAGAACAAGAAGAATGATAGTGGAAGCGGCGAGGCGGATGACGATGACGAGGATTAATCTCGTTATCCCCTCTGTACCTGTCTCGCGTCTCCTCACTTCAACGTCGACCCCGCGCTGTTAGACAGCACTGTCCTTCGCCTTCAACACCTCGACGTTCACATCCGCTCCTTAACCTCGTCTTATCTCGCCCTGGTATCCTTATACGTTTCTCCGCAAGAAAATTCTGGACACTGTGTCATACACCCATAACATCTTCTCGGCTATCTCGTCCTCCCGGTTTCTCCTCTGTTGGCTCCGAGTCCTCTGTATGTATACTCATATCTCCCGTTGATCGATTATCCATTCGCCCTGCCTCTCCCGCATCATTCGTTACTGTCTTCCGTTGGTCGATCTTTAGTATAATTCTATAAGTACTACTGTGGGGGTCTTGGCCGCCGCATCGGGCACTCAGGGCTCAGGCTATAGGAAAAGTTCCGGAGTACTACTTGGTGCCCTTTCGGTGTATGTCGAGCATTGAAGTGTAATACTAGACGATGATCATGATAGCCGGTATATATTATTTATCATATTGCAGTCCTCAGTGATGAGCTCGATGTCGTCGTCGTTGCTGAGGTACAAAAAAGCGGTGTCGTCATGCGCAGGTGGTTTGATCAGCGCCTTGTCCGAGACCCTTCCGCAAACCAGCGTTTCTATTCTTTACACACCACATCTCCAATCTCTTCACAATTCGACAGGCAACACACACTACCTCTCATTATTCTTCTACACCCCCACAACACCGTTCTAAACCCCGGCAACTAACTCCAGCGCGCATATAACCATGTCGGAGACACCCCAGGAAGTCGGCGAGGTCAGTCTCGGGCCTACAAACCAGCGGAAATATATGCTGATAGTTTCATATCCTGGCCGTTCTCTTCCTTGTCTCTCCCAACCTGTGGTTGATGTTGTGCTTGTGCTTGTGTGTAGGCCGTGCCAGCGGCGCAGAAGAGTAGCTGGGCATCGTTCCTTAAATCGTACGTCCTCCTTCTCTCCGCTGGATCCCGAAACTACACTGACCATGGCACGATGTCTCTCACGCATCTCCTACATGCTCCGTTTATAGAATCGCCTCGGTCTCAGGCGATCTGTCCTCTCTCACTGCCCCGCCTTTCATCCTCTCACCCATCTCTCTCACTGAGTTCCCTGGTATGTTAGCCATATATGGAGTTCCGCCCTATACGCGCTGATGGGACGATACTTTCCGCTCATTCATTTATTCCGTTTTGACGGAAATAATTAGCATATTGGTGCGAGCGCCCAGAGCTATTTGCTGCCATCGCCGATGCCACGACCGATGAGGACAGATCAGTCGCCGTTCTCAAGTGGTTCATTGTGAGTTGCATGCGCTCCTTCTCCCCTGGTATGATCTCAATGCTGACAGCGGATTTCAGAGCACGCTGAAGGGACAGTACACTTCACGTAATGAGAAGCTCGGGTCAGAGAAGAAGTATGTCTGACCTGAAGCTTGCACGCAACCACATCGAAGTGCTAACATGTCCTTTCTGCCTAGACCTCTCAATCCGGTACTCGGAGAGTAAGTCCACAATTTGGATGGCTCTAGGTGGCATATAATATACTAAAACGAAAATTGCCAGACTGTTCTACGGCTACTGGCCAGATCTAAATGGACGCGGCCGTACCAACCTTGTCGTAGAGCAAGTCTCTCACCACCCACCTATCACCGCATACTACATCTCCAACGCAAGCAAGGGTCTCTACCTTCAAGGGCACAACGCACAGAAGACGAGTTTCTCTGGTACGTCATACACCCACCTCTGAAGCCGTAAGCGCTCCCTTATTCTTCACACCAGGCGGAAGCATTATTGTCAAGCAACTTGGACACGCCACTTTGACCGTGGACTTGCCCAACGGAGACAAGGAAGAGTTCCTCATTACTCTACCCCGTTTACGAATCGACGGTCTCTGGTACGGTTCACCATACATCGAACTCACGGAGAACTCGTTCATCCAGAGTTCTACCGGATGGCTCTCTACTGTACGTCTTCCTCTTCCCCCACCTTGCGCCACTTGTTCTAACATAACATTGGGCGGTAGATCGAATACAAGGGTAAGGGTTACTTTAGTGGCAAATCCCACACTTTCAAAGCTATCCTGTCGCCTCCGGGATCTAACAATGCAAAGCGGACCTTTGAAGGCCTATGGCATCTGACCAGCAAGGATCTGAAGTCGGGACACACGTTCACAGACGTACAAGGGCCTAAAGAGGAGGTCAACGTTGCTATTGTGGAGGAGATGGATGACTGGGAAAGCAGGAAGCTTTGGCAACATGTCGCCAAGGGCATTCGAGATGGCGACTTTGAGACAGCCAGCCGGGAGAAGAGTAAGATCGAGGTGTGTACATTTAGCCACGACGATCAATTCTGGATATTGATCGCATTTGTAATTGTTTTAGAACGAACAGCGCCAGCGGAGGAAAGATGAGCTCGCTGCAGGCACCAAATGGGAGCTCAAGCATTTCGAGCACATCGAGTCCGATCCAACCTGTAAGTAGCGACGAAAATCTGCGTTATGGATATCACTGCGCAGTATTAACATATGTCCCCCAGACGAACGCCTTGGGCGATTCTTCAAGGCGAATCCACCAACGGAAGATACCTACATCTACAGGCACAATGGCCCGTATGACGAAGTCCCGGTGGTTGCCGCTGCATAGTCGCACCTGCTCGATTGTTGCTAATACCATATACGACGTATCAACCTAACTACAAAGAAGAATATATAGCTGGCATACTCGGGTCTTGTATTCTTCCTCTCACAGACCTAATAACATTTGTGTGTATAATACCTGGCTCGGCATCCTCCTTAGTTACTGAGAGTGTTGTCTGAATCTGCGGTCGTGTAATCTGCGCATCCATTACCTGCTGTGAAGCACGATTTACAGCCGTCAAACGACTACTGAGTAAGGAGTTCGAGCAGAGAGATAAGTATAGAAAATGACAATTTTTGCTATCGAGTCCATTAACCACGTCCGCTCAGCCCGTTCAAACTTTCGAATGCCTGACATGCCCGCAGTCCTATGTAAAAACAATTTTACCGAAGCCTCTAACTCGAGTCGTTAATTGACAGAGACCTTGGGGACGCAGTGCGCGAACTTTGAAAACAACATTAGCAATACAAGAGAAAGCTCTTCTGCATTCCCTTCGCTCCCACTGGCTCCAGAAATAATATATATATATATATATATTAGTTGCAAACTTACCCTTTACTCTTTATGAACAGGTTACAACGCATCCCCCTCCTCCTCCTCTTTATTTACGGCATCAAGGTAAAGGTAGAGGTAAATAAAGTAAAGGGTTGGAGCCTTAATTCAAAAATCTCAAATTTCTGTCATGCAATTGAAAAAATATCTCGACGCCAGCAGGATTTGAACCTGCGCCCTCAAAGAGGAGTTGATAATTCGATATTCGAATCAACCGCCGTAACCACTTGGCTATAGCGCCTTCCTGACTCCTATCACTATCAAGAACCATATCTGATTGCACTTAGTTACTGAGAGAAACAGACAAAACCAAGGGCACTCAAGCGTGCAAGCACATCTGCCTGCCGACCTCTGTCTGCATCTATTTCCAGTACCGCGTCCACAACGCTGACACTGGTAAAACACCCTGCACCCACGACTGTACTCTCATCGGGTAGCTTTCCACCGTTATCGCACGTAACTACATCGAGAGGTAATATGGCCGGAAATACACGGGTTAATACCCACTGTACGGTTTCGGACGTACAGGTATCCGATAATGCCGGGAAGTTCACGTTCAGGATAACTCCAGGAGGGAGTACCGCCGACGAAGGTGGCTGAGCGAAAAGTGCTGAGAGGAATTTGACAGTAAGGGATGAATATGATATAGCGTTCAGAATACTCGGCGAGGTTGGTGCCGTGGTGAGATCTGTCCAAGCTTCATGCTGTGTACCGCCAGAAGCGGAGAACGCAGCAGAAGGGATGCCTTCTTTGGCTGCTTCGAAAGCAGCACCTCTGAATAATAGCTTGTGTCTGAGCTCTGATGCATGATGCCTTGAACTTGTGGAGTGCTAGCTTACATGGTACCCGATCCAAATACGGAGAATTCAGTATTTCCTAGGGCATATCAGTAACACCGAATTCAGCTTCATACCTACACATACCACCGATGTTTGGTCCGCTGACAACGAAATCCGGTTTTGCATCGCCAAAGAATGTCGGTGCCAGAGTTTGGATACCGAAGCGTACTGAATCCACCCTGGATAAGAAATCAGGTTCGGTATCTCATGAGCATCGTGGTTCAGGCGAAACTTACGGGAAGGCATTGACGTAGTTCAGACGAGCTGTGTGTATTTCCGCCTCAGTATCAAACAAGGATGGGCATATACGCAAAACCTACTGTCGCTTGCATTAAACCCCTCCGCAGGCGATCCCGTAGGACAGGAATTGAACTCGCAGGGTTCAGTGAGTGGTGTTGGAGTTGTCGACATTGATCCGGTGCCGGATTGGTCCTGAGCAGGAGCAGATAAAAAGACCTGGTTTCCAATGGAGTTGGGCAGACAATGATCAGCAACCAGGTATTACATGACATATATTTTGATACTGACATTGTATCCTGCTGCCAAAATTGCATTGAATTGTGCGCGAATTTGCGCTACAGCCCAACCATCGTCATTCGTCAGAAGTATGTTTTGGGCTTCCGCCAAACTGGATGATAGCAGTCCCAGTGCCAATGCTTGGATTTCAATCATCATGACAACCATCGGCTCACAGCTGGATGGATGATATAACTGCTGGTCTTTAGATTAGAGCAATCAGACTTAGCACTTTGCTCTTCGTTGAGTATTTATACCTGAGGGGGACGTGGGTAATAGTGGCTAGAGAGAGGCAGAACGTATACAACGTGACTATGTGTCATGTGGAATTCTGCGACGTTTATGACTAGTGAATAGTGGATAGTAGCCGATGCCAGACAGTCATATGGCAATTACCCACGTTCGCTCTTGAGGCCTGGTTCTAGGGCTCATAGTTACAAATCGAGCGACCAATTTCGGGAAGGATTTCCTATAGAATATAACCATAGTTCAGCAGAGCGGTCATTGTCATAAGGGATCACAGACGTGCGTTACTAGTTAGGAAAGATGTAATCCTGCCCGAGGACCCAGACAGTCGCATGTGCGTCCTAATGTATGAAAATGAAACCAACGTCCTATAACCTGCTGCTTAAAGAAGTCAGTGTCTTCTATTAGTTAATTCAGACGGTGTAGAGTAATGCATGTCGTTGGAAAAGCCTGTCACCAGCAGCATCGCACTTGCGAGAGCGCTGTACTGACTGTTCCAAGATTCTAGCCGAGATAGAACAGAATCATCAGATATGGTACTTGTCGACATATGCAAGCGCAACGTACCGGTAACATATGAAGTCGGCTCTTCATAACGTTGGCCGGGTCTTTCTTCATAGAACAAACTGCATGAACCTCGCAAAGGACATTGGCATGGACCCGAAACACTGATAGTCCGGATAAAAGGGTCGCTCAGAGGCTTAGATCAAAACTTGATGTTGAATACAACTCTCTGGCGTTGAGAACACGGTTTTCCGTATCAGTTGAAACGAAATTGAATACAAGGACCTACCCTCCTTAAGATTCCGTAAAAGTCACTGTAAGAGACAATGTGTGAGCAATACTTCTATTCCACAACTAATCGACTCCCACGCCGCAAGTTACGTCCTGAGAAACACCCGTGATAAGTCGTAAAATATTGTCTCTTCGTTAGACACTGTAAAATTTGCGACACCTGGCTCTCGGTGTCAACTTGACCGGCCTCCTCTACCTCCTCCTGTTTAACGCCGACGACTCAGTCATCAGGGAAGCAATAAACCGAAATCTTCCCATATTGCACTTGATTCCTCCAAGCGGCATATCTGAAACCAATTGTAAATCGAAAATAAGCCACCGACAAGCCGAACAATCGTGGTGATGAACCTAGCTTCCGCCCATATACACAACGCATATCGCAGAGAGGCATTTTGACGCAACGCTGAGACAAACGGACTGTCAAGCTGCCAGGTCGCGGCATGCATTTGTGGGACTCGGATAGCGTGCAGATTATCGCCCAAGAATTCTGATGCTCCAGGTAAAGCCTCATATTCGTCTTCTCCAAGTTTATTAGCAAGGCCAACAGTGTACCATGTATGCGAAGTAGCCCTTCCGTGTTCTTCAGGCTCACCACTCCAGCCCTGGTCACAACCCTCAACAACAGCAGTTACCCGTGCGATGGACCTTGCTTCCTCCTCAGTCAGAGGTTGCGTGGTTAGATACGATCCCTTGACGTAAAACATTCCGAACTCCTCTGGTGAATACTCAGCCTCGAACTGTTCCCAGGGATTCGAGGTTTTCTCTGCGTGGATGATGTAATAGTACTCCGCGAGGTGCAATATGTTGTCAACAATTGTCTTTGGGAGACGACTTGAAAGATATAAACGTGCACGGCGGATGTCGGGAAGGGAAGGTTGGAAGGGTGGTAGGTGATTGGGAGTGAGATTGGGAAGAGAATAGCTTCCGAGAACCAGTAATTGTAGCCGAGAAGATTCGATACCGGAAGGTAACGCCGTATGAGACCCCTCGAATAAATCTGGTGTGAACACAATTGAGTGAAAACCTTGATCTACAGGGACATGAATACTGACAAGCAAAAGGTTGACTAGCATAGCTGTACCCAAAGATGCGTGTGATCCAAGTAGGATTGACCAATCTTTCTTCAAAGATTCCCTCGAGAAGGACTGCAAAATTCTGCGTTAACCGCGCAACGTTTGTAGGCTTCCACGTCCGAAGTGCGTATGATGGGATAGAGTCGAATCGTTCAATAGGATCAAACTTGCTGCATGGTAACCAAGTCCTTCATATACTAAATCAGAAACAGACACCTGAGCCGGAGGTATAAGACACCTACCAACCAGACAGTTTGCTATAAGCTAATAGCAAGAGAAAGATGTACAATTCATCCTCCTCCCATCTGCACTTCCCAAGTCCAACCAGGATATCCTGCGTTTCTCCATCTTGCAAGCCTCTTAAGACACGCCTCCAAGCCTTTCTTCTTTCCACCCCAACGTGTTGACCCAATCTGCGTAAAGGCGCGTATATTAGTACTACACCGCAGATCAAAACGTCGCCACTACCTTTGCAGTTCTAACGCAGAGTCGTAGGGTATCGCCGATCTACTGAATATACCTGCCACTTTGATCTCCACAGCAGCACTCTCAATCTGAGAAGCCATGAAATCCCCGGCCTGCATGAGTGCTCTCCCAGACACGGATCCGGGTCCTATGGTGACGATACTGTTCATGGTAGCCGCATGGTATATGGGCGGAAACTGTGCTATACGGTCGCATAGTTCGCGCAATACCAGGAGCATGTCGCAAGAGGGGCACGATTGATGACGGGAGTAGAATGCTCTCCTGGCGTCTTACATAGCCTGAGAAAGTATACAACCAAACTTTGACAAGCCGTGGTCCCAGGCCATCAAAGGGTAATAAATAAGATGCGTATCCCGTCCATGTTTATGTACCACTCACAGTCATTCCCAGTTTACGGAGAGCTGCTCGCTGTCGAGTACTTTACATCTCTAGTACCTGGTCGTAGTAGAAATGAGTCTCCGCCAGTCCCAGCTGATCCAAACAAAGTTTCCCAAAGTTCGGCCGAGACATTGCTCGGGATGTTTCTGGTCCAAGTGACGATATCATGTAGTTGCTCGCTGCCTTTTGGGTCGTGCTGGTCGTCACAGACGAGAGTTTACGAAGCGCTGAAGGACTCTGGATGATGTCGATCATCGACGACACGCATCAAAATATTGAAAAACCGACTCAATCATCCTACAGCTACATATGCCTTCAGGCTCCCGGTAATATAATACAAATGAAGATGAAGGTATCAACGAGATTGAACCACACCATGCCAGATACCGCTACGAAACACACCTCGAGTTGTGTGGATGACATTTTCCAGACTCAAATAAATAAGAGGCGTACTAGGTATTCAATTGTCTTCAGGAAGACAATACAATGATATCTTGCCATATTGCACGTTATTGATCCATGCGCCATATCTAGTTCCACGCTCAAAAGCATAAGCTCATCTTACTGCACCAAATAGTAAAACCAGCTTCAAGAGTTACATACCTTCCTTCTGCCCAGATGCATACTCTATAACCCATGGAACTTTGTTTGCGCAAGGCAGAGACGAAGGGAGTATCCGCATCCCACGCCGCTGCATGCATCTGGGGGACTGATATCGCGTGGAGGTTGTCAGCCAGAAAGACGTTCGATCCGGGAAGTACATCTATAGGCTCATCGTCCGGGGTGCGGTTCAGAATTCCAACAGTGTACCACGTATGTGACGTTGGTCTGCCCTTCTCTTCTGCTTCCGCGCTCCAGCCTTGATCACAGCCTTCAACAACCGCAGTGACCCGCACGATAGACTTGGC